GCCTTGCTTCAATCCATGTTCTCGTATGCACTTCGATTGGTTGGATACCTCTGTGACAATCGCCTTGTCCACACACATTACATTGTACTGGACATACACCTTTAATAGTTTGAACCTCAGAGCTGAAAGCAAAGCTGTGCAACCCCGACATCAAAATCACTACGTCACGCAAAACAACACAAGAGAACAAGTTACATTCACTGGCTTTTATCATGCCAAGAAGTACAAGCGCGAAGAATCACGCACATAGAAACAAATAATAATAAATTAGGTGTTTGAACCTCAGAGCTGAAAGCAAAGCTGTGCAACCCCGACATCAACATCACAACGGCACGCAAAACAACACAAGAGAACAAGCTACATTTATCGGCTTCTATCATGCCAAGAAGTACAAGCGCGAAGAATCCTGCACACAGAAACAAAAATCGTACAAAACGACCAAGTATAACCAGAGATACGGCCATTTCAAACACAAGACACCCAAAAGGGCAGTCACACATCACAAGTATAAGCCATCACAGCACGAACATAAAAAACACCACGGCACACTCACATCCAACGAGACACAACGCCGGGTCGAAAAGACAACCGACCACAGAAGAAAAAGACATCATACAAAGGACTTTACAAAAATTCAGCAAAAATACCACACAAATACAGCAAAAATTAAAGCAAAATTACAAGAAAACTACAAGTCAAGCCATCAACAGACACAACGAGAACCACCAAGGGAGTGACGGGTGCACACAGGGATCCCCACAGAGGGACCCCCGGGACGGTGCCTACCTACGACGAGCGCAGGCAGACACCGCCAAAGTGGCGCTGGATGTGGTCAGCGTTCATCTGATGGACCAGCGCCGCAAAGCGACCCTTCCATCGAGGAACAAAGGCCTCATCCAGCCCCGGCTGGTACACACCACGGGCCTCGGCGCAGCGGGCGAGCTGACCAAGCAGATCCACAAAGGAGGAGGCGAACCCACCGGTTGTCGTCATCGCCGCAGGGACGATCAGAGTTTTTCCATGGTTGAAACCGGTGTAGTAGTCGCGCTTCTCCTTTTCGGCTCGGCGAAGGGCAGCGCCCACCTTGATGCAGGCTTGCGAGGTGGTCGGGGGTTGGGCTGTGCGCACAGTCACGTCAATGCCCAGGTCGGGCAGAGCTGGGCCCAGAGCAC